TCTTCCAGCTGCTGCCTCTTGCCTGCACCGCGCAGTGCTGGGCTGTGTCCCAGGACGGGCAGAGCAGTGGGGACTCCAACAGTCGCCGTAGACAGAGGGGAAGGCTGGTGGCGGTGTGACAGCTGGCAGTTTGTCCATTGTGACACACAAAGCCGCCGGCCTTTCCCCACCTGCCAGAGGTGACGTTTGGCTCTGATGTGGCACTTGCCCTGGTGAGCACAGCAGTGGGCTATCTCTGCTGGCCAGCATTTATTCCTGGGGTCGGAGCCCCATCCTCTGGCCTGCCTTGGCCGAGCTGGGTGGCAACAACTGTAATTTGCAATACTGGAGTTGTCAGACTTTGCTTTTTTTTTTGTAAAAAGCAGTAGCCATTTATTCACAAACGCGTCTGTACAGATGCTGTGCTGTCGGTGCACAGAACACTTCGCTCCCTGTACAGTTACTTTTCCTTTGCCCAGCTGATGCCGTATGTTTGGTTAACAAATACAGCATCAGTCTCACCGTAGCCTTGCACTGCCTTTACATGTGAAAGGACGCCTGCGTTACTCCTTATGGCAAAATCAAATTATCCCCACCGCATCCACCAGACCTGACTGTGAGCTGGGACGACGTAACATCTGAGATGCCGTGTTCACTGTGCATCAGCCCCTCTCTGCCCGAACCTTTGCCCCCTCCTTTCCTGGGAGGGGCTCAGACAGCTGCTTTGCATGGCTATGGCTGAACAAACCGAAGCCCTTCTCCAGCTTTCAGCTCTTCCCCCTGGGTAGCAGCTTTCCATGGAGACAGTAAGCATGTGGAACCACATTTCCTCTGGCTGAGTCTTAATTCCAGCTTCAGCGTTCCTCACTAAAGTCCTCTCAGGCATGACCAAGAGCACTGGGCAAGTGCAAGTGTTCAGGGCTGACCAGAAAGCCTTTTTCAGCAGAACGTGCAAAAACAGCCACTCTGTAACTTTTATCACAGGTAAGCTTTTACGTGGTGCTGCTAATATGAAGTGCAAGCTGTCTTGTAGTACGTGACACTGGCGTTACACTACAGCACACAGCAAGGAGGAGACTTGGAGCTGCCCTGGGCGTTACCGTTCTTTCAAAAGCAGGACCTACTGGGGAAGAGGAATGAGACCTGCACTTCAGGGCTGTTTCCTCTGGTTCACACGGCCTTGTAATCAGAGTACAGAACAGCAGCATCGCTCTAGGAGATTACAGAAATCTGCCAAGGTGACGGGTTTTTATAGTAAATAGAGGAGAAAAGGAATCTAGCCTATTACACACACAAAACTGCAGTTCACTAACACCGCGGTCGGAGAGATGCCTGCCCTTCTGCTCGTCTGGACGCCTACACAAACGTAGTTATGGCTAGGGAACCTTTACGGGTCTCTCAAGAGCTACTCCAAACGTATTTCAACCAATAATCTGGTCAAAATAATGTAAACGTTGCTTTTTAATGTCTACAGAATAACCACAAACAGCATTATGATGAGGTCAGAATGGAGGTCTTGATTGTTCTTTCTTACATTTCCATCTACAAACAGTACAAGATTGGAGTTTCACTTTTTATTTACGCCCCAGTGATCTTTGCACCCGTTTGAGCATTTAG